AAGCATTAATCATCCCATTATGAAAAAGTTAAGTCACCAAAATCTCCTGTTATTCCTTCCAACTCTTATTGTTCCATTTTCTTTGAGATCTGAGAGCAGCTCCGAAGAAAAGCTGGAATGCAAGTCCCCGTGCAATGACGTAGGCTGCGCTGCAGTGTGTGGGAAGAGCTGCCCAGTTGCGAAACAGCGAAGCCGCCGCGCTGAGCAGCTGCCCTCACACTGCACTGTCTTCTTCCATCATGCGTAAAGATCTGGAATTTCTAAAATTCACCAAAAGACCAAAAAAAAMCCCAACACCCCCTAACTGCTTATTTCATTCTGTGCTTAGACAAAGGAGAAAAAGAACAGCATCTTGCATGCACTTACATTCTCATCAGCACTAAGGGAGGTTACCCACGGAAATGTTCTCTCAGCTCCATGTCATGCAAAAGTCTTTACTTTAGATAAGATACCTTGCTTTATTGTAGTCTGGCTTTTCCATGGAAAGATTTTGGGTAACACTCCTTGCATTCAGCAGATGAAGCTGAAAACATTAATTAACTAATCAAGTAAATGACATTGGGTGTGTGAGAACAGACGGGCAATCACTTCTGCAATGCCTTCCTCTAAAGTCCTACCTACCTAAGCTCCACGGACACTTGACTTGGGAGAGAGGGAAGGGGGAGAGGGCCTGACTACAGCTAGCGCTGGAATCCTGCCCAGCGCTCCCCAGCTGGAAGTAAAATTATAAGCTCCACATCTTGACAGAAACAGGAACAGGATGGCGGTGAGGGGGGCTGGGGAAGACACGCACAGAAAACAGCTTGTCCATGCAGATGCCTTTTTTTGTGTCTGTTTATCCCGGCCCCGCTTGGCTGCCCTGTTTTCTCACTCGGAATACCATTCCTCTGCCCCTGCCATTCGGGATTTTGCTGTTTTCATCAGGGGTTGGTTTCTCTCATCCACCCACATCGTCAAGGAGAGGGCCCTTAATGTGCTGTGTGACACAGAGCTCGCGCAGCTCTTCAGCACGTCCTGTAGACTCCCCAGCCAGTGCCCATTAACACTGCACTACCTGGATATTTCTTCGAGAAGAACAGTGTAATTACTCAAACCCAGTTCCAGGGAAAATCACAGTTACCGTCAGCGTGCGGTGCCAGAAGCAGTTGTGAAGCCATATGGAGAGAGGCATCATCCAGAGCCTTGTGCTGGGGACATCACCTGGAACACGGACAGCTCTGGGGAAGTTCCCAAAAGAATAAAGGAGTGGGACCTGCTGGATGGGCCTCTGCTCGCTTAGAGCTCAACGCTGCGGGAAAATAAAACCAATGGGAGACGCCTGTGCTCACTCAGTGCACAGAAAACTGGAGATATACCAGAGAGACAGAGACATTCAGAAAAAAAAAGAGTGGAAAAATATAAACAGGTTAGGTACAGGCTAAGGAAGCGTCTACGGACCTAGTGAATCAATGCCTCTTAACTGGGTAGCAATGAGAACTGTTACAGATCTGCACAAGACTTTCCCATCTCCTCTGGCACTAACCTACATGCACGGGAATACGTATGCATGGGCATACGTGTATTTCCTGGGGCGGGTGGTGGGAACTGCAGCCCGCAGCGATGGCCCAAACACTGGCCAAGCGTGAGCAGCTCTGGTTTGATGCCCCAGCGAGCAGGCTCTGAAACCACCGTCTTCCACGGGCAGGAGCAGGCGACCCAATCTCACAGCCCGCCGCTCCGCACAGACCTGGCGCTCCGGGAAATCAGGTCCCCCGATGGCCACGGAACGGATGCGACGGCCTCCTGCTCCTCACTGCATCGGTGCTGGGCAAGGTGCAGTCACCGCCTTTAAAGAACTGCACGTGCCCCGAGTGCAGCCTTATTTCTCAGGAAATAAATCAACAGCATACAGACAGGATATTCAAAAAAACAAAAAAAAAAAAGGAAAAATGTAGTATAAATTAGAGTAGATAAAAATTCAGATACAGCCTCTAAAGAAGACTACAGAGATGAAATTATGCAGGTACTGTAACTGTTTGATTGTGCTTGCTTTGTATATCCAGCTTATTCTGTCTTCCATTGCATGGCATATGATCTAAAGATCTACTGAATGATATCTACAAATGACACTACATTAGTTTTAAAACAATGCACATATAGTAAAGTGATAACAATTAGCACTGCTACAGAATTAATACAAGACTGAATGGCAGAGATTGCCCAGTACATCAAGTAGTTGTATCTGCAATTTGTATCTTAATTATGAAGAGTAAACAGGAAGAAAGAACAGAGTTTTTTCATTAAAAGACCAGGCATGGATTTATATCATTAAAATTTGGAGGAAAAAAAAAAAAATGCATAATCTGATCATAATCTGATATGGGGTAGGGAGCGTGTCATACTCCTCTTTCAGAGAGACAGTCTTCACTATGAGAATTTTTGGAAGCACAAGAAGAAAACCAAAAATCACTGATTGAAAAAAAAAAAAAGACTTATACAAGTCTACATAAACCATGCCACTGGCTAAAAATTACTCTGGTAGATAAAAGGTAAAGCTTAATGATAGGATCAAAGCAGATAAAACAGTGAGTACTCTTTTCCTTAGTGAGACAGATTAGCATTTTCAAGCTTTATGAGTAAATTCCCATGCACTTTACTGTGTCTGCTAATGAGTCAGACAACAGTAAGCTGTGAGACAGCCGTATTTGCACATGAGAAACTAATATGTTTGTCTAGAAAGAACTGTTAAGTTTACTTAGATGAACAGGCAATATGCTGCACAGGAGATGCAATGACGTCAGTAAATTAGAGCATATTGGAAGGAAGAAAAATACTTGGAACAAGATTATTTACAGCAACCCGTGCTCCATTTAGCAAGCACAGATGCTACTGCACCCAGGCAAAGGCTTGCGAAGGAAGGGATGAATGAAATACACACAGTTGCAAAGTGCTCAGAGCAGTATATAAATATATGGGGAGATACATGCATACACAAACACACACAAATCACAGAAGTGTTTAGTTATGGCAATTAACACTAACTAAACCCACTAAGCTTCAGTCTTTAAGGACTCCTACGTGCTTAGAAAGATGGGACAAGGTAAGAGAGGGGTGAGAGGTGTGTGTGATCCTGGCGCCATCCAGCCTGCATCCCCACCTGGCTCCTTTCTTGCAAAGCCAGCAGAGGGAGCAACTCCATCACTAAAGGATCCCTCCCGACTCTGCATTTTGGTGGCTGGGCAGCAAATGACCCACGCGAGTGCAAGCCCCGGGGATTCGCACTTCCCTGGGCCTGCACACCAGGGCAGTGAGAAACTGCACTTCCACCCACAACCCCTCCGATGTCAACAGCGACCACTTCTACGCATCATAGCTGGCCCTTACGTCCCCATGTGTTTGCTTAGAGGTTTCCACAGTGTTCTACACTAAAGCTGGGTGGCTGCTTACACCAGGCTTTTCTACTACTGGTATCAACACTGCTGGAACAAAGGAACTGAGCAACAGGAACCCTAGCACATCACAGCATGACTTGAGGACATAACACATCATATTATAATTTTTTTCCACCCACAGCATCATCACCAGGGAGTGGGTTTACCATTCCAGCAGGCAATGACTAATAAACAGGTCACACGTTCACACACTGCCTGAGACACTGACTGGGTCAAAGCATTCGGAGGCTTCCGAGACCCCCATCTGTAATAGCAAAAATTAAGCGTAAGCACAGGCTTCACAGCATTTTGGTCACTTTATTCACATTGGCACTACGTGTCTACAGCTTTAGTACACCACATATATTCTTATTTTCTATGTCATCTTTTTATCTGCTCAGCTGCAAAACTGAAGAGCACCTGCACTTTTCGACATCATTTTCCTTCAGCTGTGCTGAGATGCTTTTGATGAAATTACACTGAGGCACAAACAAGAAAACAGAAAGTTCTATTAACTTAGACATTAACCAGGGAAAGAAGTACTTGCAGATCAGCTCAAACCAACGTGCTCCAGCTCCTGAGGGGCTGCCGTGCCCACGTGCGAAGCTGAACAAGACTAACGCGAGGAGCTCTTTCCGCAGAGCGGCCTCCCCGCGATCCCGGGCACGCGTGACGGACAGGGGGAGCCCGGGGCCGCCGCCGGCACTGCTCCCCCAAGGCAGCCCGGCCGAGCAAGGCGCCYGGGCGCGGCCACACCGGCTCCGAGGAGGCGCTACGGGTGCCCCCATTCCCCGCTCCTAGGCTGGGCCCCACAGCGACCCCGGCAGCCCCCGTCCCCCTTAGCGCCGCGGCCCGCGCGACCGTTAACGGCCGGCGGGGCGCGCGGGGCTGCTCGGGGCGCCGCCGCGCTGACGCGTGCGGCGCATCCAGGCAGCAGGCGGGGCAGG